AGGTGGCATAACACTGAAAGCAAATGACCAAGGGGCTGAACATGGACATTTCATCAAACGAAACAGAAATAACGTTATCCACAAACAGCTATATTAAGCAATAGAGGTATCATAAACCTGCAATCATGAGTGTTTGCAGAGTGTTTTGAACTACTTGATTAAACAGCACCTTATTAGTGAAAATTATGATTAATGAGAAGCTTACAACAACAAAGTCCTCTCTGCAAGCACTGCAACAGAAAGAAAGAAATGAGAAGCACATTTCAGATTGGATTTTCTAAAAATAATTAAAGTTTCACTGAAAGAGTATTTTGAAGATTTTTATATTATAAAGTTTAGGTTGACCAAAAAGAACATGCATTTTGTGCTATTATTTCTAGGTTTTTTTATAAAACTTTAAGAGCTTATTGTCATTTCTCTAAATCCAAGTAGTATTTTACAACATGATGAGAGAGACACCAGAGATCAAGGCAAACAGGAGCCCCTGGGATCAATACACTCAACTGAGTCTGAGCAATTTTGTTACTCCATTATGTTCCATAAAGCAAGCTGCTTTCCATCCAGCTATAACACTGATCCATTAGAGAAAGAGGAGACGTGGTCCTTCTCATTTATTATTTATAAGACAGGGCATGCACAACTTGTCTGACATCATCCTTGTCACAGTTAATGAGAAACTGAGATAATTCAGGTTTTGTGGTATCACAGAAGAGATGAAAAAGCTCTTTTAGGTCTAATGCTCCATTTTGCTGCAGTAAGGGAGTGCTCTGTAACGTATGTAATGAAATAATTTATTGTATACATCCCAAAGAGGTGATCTTTCCACACAACTCCTGCTGTTTGGGGGAAGTCCCCATGCACATATACATACATTGTATAAACACCAAACAACAGATATGATCTAGAGAGATGCTTTTAAGATTGACAGAAGTAACCAAATCAAACCAGAAAGCACTTTTAAGTTTTTCAACTCTAAAATCTAATTTGTCTTGGTGGATCAACATCATGAGGCTCAGTTACTGCATGACACAGGACTGCTGGGGTAACATGAGCCTATGCCAAGAGCCAGGGGAGAGTTTCCAATGCCAGTCCAATATGATCATGAAGGTAATGAGGTGAAAATTACTTCTTAGTGCCTGGAAAGAGACCCCACATCACTCTACAGTGCAAAACAAATGCCCTCCAGCTCAGAGCCCGTGGACTGCTCTAGACAGAGAACCTGGTTCAGCACACGCTTCTCCTGGTCCCAGGGTTGCAGGGAGCTGGGTTGCACCCCTGAGCACAAAGGAGAGTACTAAGGACCTCAGTAGGTTTTTCTTCCCTAGCTCTCTTATTTAGCAGCACAGATATGGCCAGGCTCTCCAAACTCACATCTGGGGAGTAAGAGAAATGCAAGATGCTGATGGAGGATTGGGGCAAGCCGGGAACACTGCTGTTACAAAAAAAAACCCAACTCATGAGAGTTGATCAGAAGTGCTAATTCACGTAGGAATTGGCCTGGGATGGAGAAAAAGAATGATATAGAAGGAGAAATTTGAGAAGGAATGGGAAGGTTTACAGGGGGCAGCTTATAGCGAAAACACAGGACTGCAATGTCCCTCCACTGCCTGCAGGTTTCCAGACATCTCCTGACACCAGCAATTTCTTGCATAGTGTCAACTTCATGGAGCAGGATTCAGTGACAGCTGGTGCCTAGCTGTAAAGCACATCAGACCACTCTGAAGCTGCTATCATGTTCTCCAGGATCTCAGCTTACATTAGTCAAAACCTGACAATAATTTTGCTGTTAGTGCTGCAAAGCTCTACCATGTACTACATATAACTAATGAAGAGACAGATAGGTAAGTTAGCCTGTCCTAAAACAAGGTACAAGCTGCTCCTTTTGCTTCACTGAAGCTTTAACTAAAACTGGTAATTTAAATATTAACGTTATTTTTTCCTTCTTGATAGGAAAGCAGAGCCAGTTAAAGCTCTGACCTTTACTGTTTTCCACCAGCTGTCTTATCTCAAATAGGTGGTGATTGGGATATACAACCAGCTGTATCATTCTCCTCTAAGAAAAAATAAGGTAAACCTTACCACTGAGAGGAGCCTGGGGCACTTTCAGGCCCTCCTGAGAAGTCACCAAAGGAGCTTAAAACACCTGCCACATTGTGTCCTAAGTGCAATCATCACCTGCCAGAAATGTTGCCTTTTATTTTGGTTTCACCTGGGTTGAGAAAATTTCTACAGGTAAGTTTAGGGAAGACAACTAAGCCTCACCTATTTCTAGTCTGACATTCATGGCTGCTCATTTCTCTGTGCATAAACACATGTAGGTCTTCACAGGCAGTGCGAAACCTTCCTTCCTCGCACAGCTCTGGTGTACCTCCATCACAACCAACAGCATACTTGCTCAAAATTCCAAGCAAGGACTGTCTTCTACTGAGCTGGTTAAAAAGAAGAAAAAAAAATGCTCATAAACTAGACTATCCTCTTTAAAGATTTAGTTCAAGACTGCTAAAATGCAAATATATCCATTAAATACACACTTATAAGAAAAATCTGAATACGATCTACAGAGAAAATCTACTGCACCAAATTAATGTGTGACTTGTTATATTTCTTAGCTGAGGCAGAAATAATTGCTGAATAATTGTGTGTATAGCAAAAAATATTGCTGAACTAATTAATGCTTATTTCTAAAAAGATTAAAACTTCCAAAAGCTCACATATTTCAAAATCTGGCATGTATTTTTTCAATTATGTACATTATTCCAAGGGTTCATATAAACTGGGCAGCCAGACACTGTTTAAACTCTTCAAGAAAATGCTCTTTTGGATGATAAAAACCTACGCTGTTGTACATTTTAACATAAAAACTCATCCAGTATTTTAGAAACTGTGCTTTTGAGAGTAGGGTCCAAGTGGTCCCCCGAACATTGCTAAGTGTGATCTTAGGTATGTGGTATATCAGTTTTCCTGGAGGTGCCCCTCTGTTTCCATTGAGTTTACAGGGAGCCTGAGGCAAGCATGGTCCTAACTTAGGCATCTTAGATACTCCATATATTATCTTTTTTATGAATTTGGGCCTGCTGCCCTGGAGGGGCAAAAAAAAAAAATCACATCTGAGAAACAGGAAAACAATTAAGAAAGGGAGGGAGAAATAAAAGGTTTTCCAGTTGGCCCCAAAAATGCCAAATTCACCCTGGTGTAATTCTGCTGAAAACAAAGGAAGCACACATGAGCTGAACTTTTCCCACTGTCTTCACATGACAGTAGGCAGCCTAAAAAACAATTTTACCTAATTAAATTATGTCATGGTCCTGCACATTTCCAGTATGGGAAAAGAAATTCTCTATGCGGGATTGGGTTTTTGTAACCTTTTTGTATTTTTATAACACTCAGATGACAATGCAAATGATTACTCTCTTGATCTTCAGAAATGCTGGTTCCAACCAGAGATGCTGCTCGGTGCTGGGAGGGTGACAATCCTGACAGAGGAGAGGAAGGGGGAAGAATGAACACCAATAATACCACAGCCTCAGCATTCACATGTAGGTAACAGTAGGTTGTTATAAGGTCATTAAGGGCTAAATTGTGCCTCTTCTAATTCAGGTTTTGGTAGCAAGCACTAAGAAGTTGGTTTGCAAATACACAGCTGATGGAGCTGTAATACCTCTGAGAATTCAAGGTGAAGGTGAGTCCAAAAGCAATGATGGGAAAACCTCCCTGTGGGTTTCTCAGTGTAAGGGAGGCTCTGCCTTGTGTCCCCCCTGAGGTGATCAGCCTGGTAGGGGCAGAAGTGTGTAGTTACCTGCAGTTACATCAGCATCAGGAGCTGCACAAAAGAAGACTCCTCCTTGCATCACCTACTCACCCTCCTTAACACGCCAGGATGAGCAGGCTCCTCATCACAACTACCCCACTGGTACCTCCCTGGCTACTGGAGTGAGATCTCCCAGGGCTTTCTGCAGCGATTGGGTAAGTACCAAGGCACAAGGGCAGAGGCCATCAAATAGGTGATATTCTTCATTTTAGAGCAAATCATCATGGTCTCATGCAGTACTTAGATGAAGTCAAACTTAATATTCTCATAAAATAAGAAGGAAAATGCTTATTACTTAGTTTTTTACTCTGCTGACATGCATAGATTTAGCTACAATAAAGAAAAAAAAATGCCTGATTACCAGAAAAAATTTGCTGTGAAACATAATGCCATAAACTTGCTTTAGCTCTGCTTTTTTACTTGGTTTTAAAGCTGTACTAGACCATAAGGGCATACGCAGAATAAAAAGCATCAAATGATTTGCCCAATAATGAGACCTTGGATTTCCATAAGAGCAAATGTTTACATTTAAAAATACATACATCTACTTCAGCTAGAAACAGACCAAAGATAGGAAAATATTCATTCCTTTGAGTAATAAATCATACTTGGCACTCTCTTTGGGAGAGCTATGTTAAGAACCAGTCTCCCAATGGTAACACACAAAGCTATTGGAATTTCATAAGCTTTCTACAATTGCATACATAAGGAAAAAAATAAGAATAGAGCATTTGGCATGAAGAAAGCTTGTGTAATGAATAATTCCAGGATATTTTTTTTTTTTTTTAAGTTAAGTCAGCCGTTGTAGCGTGAGAAAACATATTGTGTGTACCCAGTGCTTGAAGGCAGAGCTGAAATTGAGCGAGAGGCCTTTGCCCAGGGAGGGTGGGACTGCAGCAATCTGTGAGCCCTTCTACAGAGCAGACCCCAGACAAGCCATCAGGAGAGGAGACCAAGCTGATGGGTAAAGCCCTACGCTTCACCCACCCTGGCAGCACACTGCAGCTCGTCAGCCACCCAAAACTCCTGTGGAGGCACAGACAATACAGCTATTTGCCCAAATAAACTGTTAGACGTGTCACAGTCAACGCTTCCTCCACCTGTGAGCGCTAAAAAGCACCGGGATACCCACAAAACACCTCCCCCAAACAACTGCAGTGAGCACGGGATCTGCTTACGGATCTGTACTTACAGCATCGGCCGGGGCAAAGCTCGGGATTTAACTATTTCTTCATAAACTGCTTCCACATGCTTGTCTGCTCACTGTGCCAGTTCTTCCGTGGGTTGCTTGTGTTTGGCAGCATCTGGCCCGCAAAACGATGCTTTTTTTTTTTTTTTTTTTTTTTTGCCGCCCCCCAGCCCTCAGCTGCGCAGGGATGAGCGGGCTGCGCAGGGATGCGCGGCCGCCGCAGCGCCGTGCCCGCACAGCCCAATGCAGCAGCCGCTTTAGCTCCCCCTTCTCTTCCCTTCCCTTCCCCCGCCGGGCTTCTGCCGCCTTTGTCTGCCGCCAGATTTTTTTTTTTAAAGAGATACGGACCTGAGTAACCTCAGAAGCGCGGTACGAACTGGGGTAGCTGTTAGAGAAGGGCAGGGAGACAGGCATTTTGAAGAGATGCTATTCCAGGGATACCGTGTATTCGAAGTAAACATCTCAAGTAACCCATCCAATTTTGTGGTTCATTCTGTTTTGTTCAAATGTACTTCCTGACATTATGCTGCGTTATTTCTTCACTTTTTGCGTTTCGTTCAGCTTATACAATAGAAGTAATAGGTTTTCTATCTATTTATTTCATGTTTGAACTATCCAGCTGTGTCAAACAAGGTTTACATTTAAAATGTTCACAATTTGAAGAAGTCCCCTCTCAAAATTCCTGTTCTGCTTCTGCCTCTCTTCTTTACCAACAGTGCTCACACTCTTTAGGACTGCCTTAGATGAATTTTGCGAGTGCTGACCACATCAAGACTCAGAAATCTGTGTGCTATCAGTAGCATCCTGAGTTTGGTTTCTCTCTTCCAAGTTGGCACAGGTTAGCACTTGCTCGTTTTAAAAGTTCACTCCTTAGGTAGTTCACATTCATACTTCTGTTCTGCATGAAACAGACCTCAGAAGCATCGGGGATTGCAGATACAACCTTGAACAGAAACAAAGATCGGACCGAACTGTTTAAGGCATTTCTAAGATTTTTAGACCTTTAACCTCTCACCTTAGTCGCCCAAGTTAACCTGTCAGGTTATCCTCCAAGAAAAACCAAAAAACCTTTCCTTTGAGGGTTCTTCTAATCTTGCCAGTCCTGCTGCTTTGGATTCCAAGTGTCAGTACAGAATGCTCTCTGAACCCATGGGTCAGCAACCCACTGCCACAAACACACCCTCCCAACCTCTGTCAGTCTTCACTTAAAATATTAAACTAATGTAGAACTTCACAAGAGCTTCAGGACTGGCCAAAAGTAGGAGATCTGGGATTTCTAGGGAATCTGGAGCTCTCTTTTGCCTCTGTAGTCCTTGGCTGCACAGATGAGGCACTAGAAATAGCTTGTCTACAGGGTAACGCCTGCAGAGGCAGAGAAAACAAATACTGACAGGAAGAAAACACAGTGCTATTGCAGCTTGGTACAGAGGGTGACTCCTTAGAGAACTCCTGGACTTATTACTATGACTCTGCTGCTTTTGGTTAAAAAAACCTCTTTTCCTGCCAAAGAGCTGAAGCTGTCTTCTCTCATCTTGAAGGTTAAAGTGACACTGGAAATACTGAGGCATCTGCAGCATTGTATAAAATGATATATTAATCTTCCAAATAAAAGAAGCCTGTTTCATGTTAAAGTGCATCTAATAGTAAGTGAAATTATTTGTCTTATCACAGAAATAGACCAGAGGAGGCCAACATCCTTACATTTAGAGTCCTGATCACGAAAGGTCAAGAGGTACTGAGCATAAGTAAGCAACAAAACTGGCCTTATAAGATTGCTTTTTGTAGCACAGAGATGAGGGAAAACACATTTTTCTGGTGATCACATCTCAGCTTCACTGAAGTTCACCACCGTCACTCAATCCTCTCCAAGTTCAAGTAAACAAAAAGACATTGTAACCAGGCAGAGAGGACTGTTGGGCCAGGAAAACACGCAGTGCCAGTCTCCAAAACATCACCCCGCTGGATAAGCTCCTGCAGGACAATGATCTCACACAGCTGTCGTGCTGCTCCTAAGTTTAGCTGCCGACGGCGTGGGCTCCCAGGGGGTGGCACGCCGAGAACGACGGCTGGCTCCCCGAGCAGGGCACGCGTGTCGGCTGCCACCGCCCGCGGCCGTGCTGGCCACATAGGTCAGTAGGGTGGCATCGGCCCCGTTTATCAATGTCAGGCCCTGAAAGCAGAAAAAAAATCTATATAGGGGGGTGGGAATGAAGCCACAGATGTCACAGGGAGCGTCACAAGGATAGGAGGCAATGGGGGGACAGGACATAGAAAAGAGAGTGCTTAAAACATATGCTCTCACAAAGTTTTCAAATCCTTTTTAAACAGCAGGCATGAAGAGTCCTCCTTTGAAATTTGCTTCCTGGAGTGAAAGAATAGATTGGGAACTGCTAGCATTATTAGCAATCTTCTTACGGAACAACGTGCGCTGAGGGCAGCCCTGTGTCTGGAAACCGAGCTGGAAAGAGCAGCTGGGCTTCCCATGGAGGGACAGGTGAAGGGCGAATTTCCCTCCAGGGACATTTTAAAACAAAGGCAAAAATAAGTATTTGATTGGTGAATACACCACCCCAGCTGTGAAAATCAAGTAAAATTAGAAGGCTCGTTGCTGCTGCTGAGTTTGGTACGACTTTTACTGATATGGGTGAAAGCAACCAGCTATTCAAACGGGTCGCCCATGAAGCTGATGCCTTATAAAGTTCACTTGCCTCCTCCCGCAGCCAGAACCATTCTTCTTACTTCTCTGTCTCTCTTATTTCACCTCCCTCCTCCCCAAACAGGATACCTCCCGTGTTCCCTGCTGCCTCTGGGGTGCTTGTGGCAAAGTGGGGAGAGATGGGCTCGTACCGGGCACTACTGGGTTGGGGGCAGCCAAAACCACAGGTCACCCCTGCAATGACCCTGTGCTCCAGGCAGGCTGATATCATCTGCAGAAAAAATGGTTTTATCATCTACATGCAGCCCACGGCCGTTACCGTAATGTGGGGAGCCGAAATCTCCCTCAAACACCAATGTGTTGCATTTACATCATGGACCCAGTTCAGAAGTTACGAGTTAAGCTTGAACTGCTTTTAACTTTGTGGAAAATCTCAGTAGAGGTGACCCAACCTTAATGAGAAGTATGAAACAAAATTCAAAACCTTTACCAGAGCTAATTTTCTTACAGAGAGTTCTAATTCCTCAACAATTTGATTCAATTTTTTCCAGACATTGCAAGATCACACTCCTCAGCTGTTGGAGGAAAACTGGCAATTTCCTCTTTAATCCATCTCTCCAGCTCTCGGCATTCCCACCTCAAATTAAAGGGGATAAAAATGAAGCTTGGCCATAAAATCTTCCTACCAAATCCATCCGTTAGTGACTGGCACTATGTAACAGCAAAGATTAAGAGGTCTCTTTGAAGCCAGTGAATGTTCAACAGATAACTAATTAGTGACACTTAAAGATAAGACAAATTGTTGATAATCTGAATTATTTTCTTAAAATATCAACAATAGTGAGAGGGGTTTTATCGTGTGAGGTTAAGTATCTGAGACCGCATTAGTTGGATGTTGTAGTAACATCATTTTAATTCTTAGAACAGCAAACCCTTCAGCACAGCCCACTCCAGCTCTCCCAAGTGACTCATGCGTGGTTTAAAGGGTCTACAGGGAAAAGAAGTTAAAAAAAAAATCAGAAGAAAGATGTGAAAGAGGTGATACAACTGAAAATTGTCCAGTACTGTGAGTGACAAGGCTCCCAAGTTTGATTCTTTTTTAAGTTAAAATAGTGATTTCTGAATTTTGTAACTGATCATATCTGCGGTAGACCTCTTATTAACCTTGATAAAAAGACAGAAATTTCAAAAATTAACATTTCTAGGCTGTGATCCAGGATGATTAAAATACCATCTTGTCCAGGCTATTAGTGCCATAAAAATTATAATGCCAGCAAGGCCAGGCTATTAGTGTTTGGGTGATTAAAATACCAGCCTCATCTTCTAGAGGCAGACTAATTAGTGTGTTGTCAGCCCAGGCTATTAGTGTTAGCACCACCAATGGTGTGGGATTGTATGGTCCTTTGAGAATTTAATTTAGGCTCAGATTAACTTCACATGCTGCTTTTTCATTAACTATACTTTTCATAATTGAAATATATATGCACATTTCAAATATTCATGGAATCATAAGAAAAACATGTTTTGGTGGATATGTACCACCATAATAACAAAAATTTAACATATCGCCTGGGTAGGAGGAGTCTTTTTGCAAAGACTGGATTATCGGGCAAGAATTCCAAGTAAGGAAATTAAAACAATGATGATGATGTATTCTCTAACTAAAATGTAAGTGCCAGCTCTGTCAGTCCATGGCATTCATCCTGACCGTCCCCATTTGCCCAGGGCAGTAGATGTATTAACTACTGCAGTGCACTGAGGCCCTCTCTGCTTCCTTGAGGCAGGTGGGAAACAGCTGATGTGAAGAGCTGGATGGGTAAGGGGAGAGCAACAGACATCATCTACTTGGACTTGTGCAAAGCATTTGACACTGTCCCGCATGACATCCTGGTCTCTAAATTGGAGAGGTATGGATTTGATGGATGGACCACTCCGTGGAAAAGGACCTGGCTGGATGGCTGCACTCAAAGGGTTGTGGTCAACGGCTCAATGCACAAGTGGAAACCAGTGACAAGTGGTGTTCCTCAGGGGTAGGTACTGGGACCACTGCTGTTTAACATCTTTGTTGGAGACATGGACAGTGGGATAGAGTGCACCCTCAGCAAGTTTGCTAATTACACCAAGCTGTGTGGTGCAGTCAACACACTGGAGGGAAGGGATGCCACCCAGAGAGACCTGGACAGGCTTGAGAGGTGGGGCCATGGCAACTTCATTAAGTTCAATCAGGCCAAGTACAAGGTCCTGCACCTGGGTCAGGGCAATCCCAAACACAAATACAGGCTGGGTCGAGAATGGCTGGAGAGCAGCCCTAAAGAGAAGGACTTGTGGGTCTTGGTGGACGAGAAGCTCAACATGACCTGGCAATGCATGCTTGCAGCCCAGAAAGCCAACCATATGCTGGGCTGCATCAAAAGAAACATGGCCAGCAAGTCTAGGGAGGTGATTCTACCCCTCTACTCTTCTCTGCTGAGAACCCACCTGCAGTAC